CTTTAAGGGTGCTTTAAGGGTACTTTAAGGGTACTAGGGTGCTACAAGGGTACTACAAGGGTACTGCAAGGGTACTACAAGGGTACTGTAAGGGCACTGTAGGGGTGCTACAAGGGTACTACAAGGGTACTATAAAGGTACGACAAGGGTACTATTAAGGGGGCTTTAAGGGTGCTGTAAGGGTGCTACAAGGGTACTATAAGGGTTCTACAAGGGTGCTTTAAGGGTACTATAAAGGTACTACAAGGGTGCTACAAGGGTACTACAAGGGTACTACAAGGGTACTGTAAGGGTGCTTTAAGGGTGCTTTAAGGGTGCTTTAAGGGTACTGCAAGGGTACTACAAGGGTACTATAAAGGTACGACAAGGGTACTATCAAGCAGTGGCTTGAATTGAATGATCATAGTGACAGCCACAAGCATCATCATAAGCACAACAACTAACAAGACTAATGCAACTGAAAATGACGGATGCTGATGATATGAATAACGGCAGATGATAAAGGACGAAGACGATGACGATCGCACCGACACCGAAGTCTACACCGTCGGCAAGCCGACGAAGCAGCAGCCGACATCGGAGACGAGACGGCGACGACGACCACGACGACGGCGACAACGACGGCGACGCCTTCGACGACGACGGCAGCGACGACGGTGACGACGACGCCGGCAACGAAGACCCGCACAAACAGCGCGGCAGGCGGGCGACTGGATCGGGCTCATGGGGCTCGGAAGAGAATACCCTGACGGCTCGCGGCTGCTCCTGGGCCATCGGATTATGAGGATGCACGGTGTATCCATGTAGGGTTTTGAATTCTCGATTTGAGCTTCTCTTCCGTAGTCCCAGCTGTCGTTTCTCCAGAAGCTGCCGAACAAGCAAGTTTCTCAGAGAAGCCATCCCTTCCTTGGCCCTTAGCCCTAAACCCTCGAGCTTTGAACCCTAAACCCTAAACCCATCACATGAAGTTTCTGGCATGAGCTCTTTTAAGCACCCTCGACACCCCAAGAGAAGCCGAAGGGAGCATACTCGTAGTTTTTGAGAGTTTAGGGGTTCAGGGGTTTAGGGGTTTAAGAGTTTAGGGGTTCAGAGTTTAGGGGTTTAAGGTTTAAGAGTTTAGGGGTTCAGAGTTTCAGGGTTTAGGGGTTTAGGGCTTTTGTCGACAGGCACGCAGATGCTAAGACCCAACTCTTCGACCTAAACCCTAAACCCTAAACCCTAAACCCTAAACCCTGAACCACAGACTCCTGATTCAAGGGGAACTAGAAGCCCGAAGCCACGAGCCAAACCAATCGCACGACCCAGTACTGATAGGCTGTCAACCAAGGATTCTTGTAGGTCTACGTAGTGACGTAGTGATTACTGCGTCTCGCTTGCGAAAATTTGGCACAAGGGCAGGATTTTCGCGTTGCCCTAGAATCATCAGCTGCGTTTGTACCTCGAGCTTACAAGACATGGGATAGAAGGAGCCATTAGGGTTTAAGGCAAGGTATCGGGTATAGGGTTTACGGTTTAGGGTTTAGAGTTTCATGATCCTAAATGAGTTACGAAGAGATTAGTACGATTGATGAATGAAGGCACGCATGTGCAGACATGGTCGACATGCTCTTCATCGAGCGTCGATTTCTTGAACCTGTCGTACTGTGCCCCTGAATGGTAGTTGATGATGTCATCCTGCAGGTAGGCCCTAAACCCTAAACCCTAAAACCTAAAATGAAGCCCCTTAACCCTAAACCCTAAACCCAGACATGCCCCTCAAAGCGGCCGAGGCTCTTGGCTAAGCCCGCCGGTCTCAAGGGAATGCCGCCGCTGTGCCCGGCGTGTTGGGATTCAGGGAGTTGAGGGTGTTGGATTCAACAGAGTTTACTAAACCCTAAACCCTAAACCCTAAACCCTAAACCCTAAACCCTAAACCCTAAACCCTAAACCCTAAACCCTAAACGAGTTTAGCTTTGTGTTTGGGATTCAAGGAGTCTCGGGTTTAGGGTTTGGAGAGCTTAATGTAAGGGCCTTAATCCTTAGAATAGGGTTTTGGGGGGCTCCTTGTTATAATTATAGTATAATACCCCCAAGCCTTATTCTGAGTATTAAGGCCCCTAAAGCCTAAACCCTAAACCCCTAAACTCTAAACCGTTGGGGAGCTTCGGAAGTTTGGGTCTCAGGGTTTCGGGCTTAGGGAGTGTAGGGCTTGGGGAGCTGAGGGCCTGGGAGCTTGAGGGATTTGGCCTTTTTTTTAGGGTTTCGGATTGAGGGATTTGGCCTTTTTTTAGGGTTTAGGGTTGAGGGATTTGTGGCCTTCTTTACGGTTTAGGGTTGAGGGATTTGGCCTTCTTTGGTGTGGGCGCTGTCCTCATGTAGTCGTTTAGTTCGCTGCCGGCTTGACCATCCATGGGATGGTCCGTGGGTAGAAACTTAATTCAAAGTCTTAACCCTACATAGTTGAGCCCTTACAGATCCCAAACGAGCCCTAAACCGTGAACCCTAAACCCTAAACCCTAAACCCTAAAACCTAAACCCAAAACCTCTAAAGGGAGCCCTTGCACGAACCCTTGAGACCTTAGGGACCGGCCGCCTTCCGAGGCTTTGGATCCTCAGCGACGTGATTTCCCGCTTCTCCGTCAGGGAGGAGTTGCCTGGCCTGAACCCTAAACCCTAAACCCTAAACCCCAAACCCTAAGCCCAAAACCCTAGA